GATCATAGTGAACATGGTTATACACCATGCAAACTGCCTAAGCCGTCCCCTATGGTGCACCACCCAAGTCGCCCCTTGGTGCACCACCTAAGCCGCCTCCTTTGGCGCACAATTCAAGCCGTCCTCTCTGGCGCACAGCCCAAGCCGCTCCTTGGTGCACCACCAAAGTCGCCCCCTGACACAACATCTAAGTCGCTTCCTAGTGCATTCAGTCATCTGTTGCCATCATCGTTCAACACCACGTCATAAGTAATGTATGTGCCACGTTTGTTGGTTCAACATCCAATCACTGGGGCATTTAGTCATCTATTGTCATCATCATTCAACACCACGTCATAAGTTACGTGTGTGCCATGCTTGTTGATTCAGCATCTAGTCTATACAGCAGTCCAACATGACCCCTTAAACTGTTCCAACATTAATTCAGGTCAGTGCCTAAAACGGTCCGGGATGACTCCATAAACTGTCCTGATATTGATTTTGATTAGTTCCTACAACGGTTCGGCACGACCTTAAACTGTCTCGACATTAGTTCTGACCAATTCTACGACAGTCTGGCACTACGTTAAACCGTTTCGACCTTAGTTTCGACCAATTTCTACAACGGTCCGGCATGACCTTAAACTGTCCTAACATTAGTTTCGGCCAGTTCCTGCAATGATCCGATATCTCTCGGCATTAGTTTCGGCCTCTGATCTATCTCAAGCGCTCTTGCGCTTCCACTCTAACTTTGCAATTAATTTGCCTTTTGCTTTATTTAGTTTTATTTCATGTTTTAGTTTCTCTCTCTAAACTCAAATGTTTATACTCCTTGAGTTTGAGGGGGATGTTAATATATATATGGTATACATTTTTAGATATATTAGGTATTGATCTCCTAAATATATTTGTATTGTCATAGTTAGGTTTCTTGTAGGATACTCTTTCTCATAATTAGGTTTCAAGTAAGATACTCTTTCTCAGCCTATATATACAGGCCTTCTATTATTTGATCAATTCATTCAATACAATATATATATATATATATTCTCTCTCTCTACTATTCTAACAACCTCTTTTTCTAAATTATTTCTAATTACACTAAATTATAATTATACATATAAGTTGTAATTGCATATTTGAAACAGACTCATATGGCTGTACACCTTCTAGTATCTATCTATCTATACTATTATAAAATGAACGGCTCTCTTTATGTGTTGAAACCTTTGCTTCTTTTCATGTCATGTGGCACGTTGATCTCTATATTTTTTTTTTTTATAAAAAATTAAATAACAAAGTGTACAAGACTTGAACATTAGACCTTCACTTTGGGAAAGAATTGTTTTATCACTTAAACAACATACATAATATTAGAGTTATGTTAGTGATCTTAAATAATCTATCAAATTTTCTACCAAAGTATTCACATAGGTGTATGTGGGTTTGTGTAGATCGCACACCTATGTGAGAGTTTTGGTAGAAAATTTGATAGATTATTTGAAGTCCAAAGCATTTTCTTAATATTTTTTTTATTATTTATTTTTATTTTTACTTAAATTATATACCGATCACGTATGTGGTCGCTAGTATATATATATATACAAAACTTGCCAAAAGTGGGTTTTGTTGAATTGTTCCATGTGTTTGATGAATTGTATTCCATGCATTTTGATGGTGCTGTCGTAATTCAAATGGAGGAGAGGGACGGTGATGGTGGTGCTACCAGTGGAGGAGCACAGCCGTGGGAGAGAGATTTGTCTTTGTCGTAGAGAGGGAGGTTAAGTGAGAGACCAGGGATTGTTTGATATAGATTTTAAAAGGTGATTATAATTTATTTTAATTTGAAAGTATTGTTTGTATAATTTCTCTTTATAATTTAGTTTGATGAATTGTATTCCATGCATTTTGATGGTGCTGTCGTAATTCAAATGGAGGAGAGGGACGGTGATGGTGGTGCTACCAGTGGAGGAGCACAGCCGTGGGAGAGAGATTTGTCTTTGTCGTAGAGAGGGAGGTTAAGTGAGAGACCAGGGATTGTTCGATATAGATTTTAAAAGGTGATTATAATTTATTTTAATTTGAAAGTATTGTTTGTATAATTTGTCTTTATAATTTATTAAGTAAAAACTGAAAAAATTAATTATTTAAAAACTAAAAATAATTTTTTTTTCTTCAAATCTTTTGATATCTTGATTAATAAAAAAGTAAATGGAAATTAAATTTTATTGAAGGATAAAATAGTAAAATTTACGATATTTGTTATGTGTGACTCTGAAGAGATGTGTATTTGTCAGAAACTTAGAGAAGCTCTATCTAATTAGCCCGAAATTATATTATGCCCCTAAAACAAATCTATTTGTGTCAATTTAGTGAAAAATTCTACTACACACGTCCTTTTAAAAAGGTATATTGTATGATATGAGGTAAAAAAAATTAATATGTTTACGATAGTTTTTTGACTTTTTACGAAAAGATGTACAAAAAGTAGAAAGAAAAGAGAATCTTTAACTTTTGGATGTAAGTTATAGGTTTTTTAATTTTTTTAATAATTTTTTGACTTTTAGGCTAAAATAGCTATTTGCCAAACGAGACCTAAATCTTTTGACCAAAAATTGTGGCACCTAATCATGTTTATGATATCTAGGAGTGGCAACGGGACGGGGCGGGGCAGGGCGGGGCCGGGAATCACACTCCCCGTCCCCGATCCCCAATGGTGAACATGGCGCCGTCCCTGACCCCGATCCCTGACGGGGAACCTTTCCCTCTCCCCACCCCCGCCCCCGATCCCGAAAATTCCCCGCCTAAATTTGTTTCAACATCAACAACATCACATACATTTTCAACAACATACAAAAAGATCAACAACATCAAGAGACTAAAGTGAGTGAGTGAGAGAGAGAGAGAGAGAGAGAGAGAGAGAGAGAGAGAGAGATGGACGATCAACAACATCACATACATTTTCAACCAGATCAACAACATACAGAATAAAAAAAATAAAAAAATAAAAAAAATGACAGAAAGATCTGAGAGAGAGAGAGAGAGAGAGAGAAACTAGATCTGATGGAGTTCATGGAGGAGGACGATCGGCGGCGATGGACGATCTGAGAGCATCATCGGCGTCGCGATGGGTGGCTGTGGCTGACTGCATCGCGACAGTGGCGATGGACGACGGAAGGACTCCTTCGGCGTCGTGGACAGTGATGATCGACGTCGCGAACTCCACCAGATCTAGTTTGGTTACAGTGATGATCGACGATCGACGTGATGATCGACGTCGAGAGAGAGTAAAGGGAAGAGAAAGAGAGAGAGAGACAGAACTGGAGAGGATGAGATGAGGGTTTGGTTTGGTTAGGTCACAGTGTGTGTATATATATATCTAGGGATAAATTGGTAATTTCATTTCGGGGACAAATCGGGCCAGGGAACGGGGACGGGGCCGAGCCGGGTACGGGGCTGGGACACTTATCCCCGTCCCCAGCCCGAATCTGTTCGGGGATTGAATTTTAAATACCATTCCCGTCCCGTCGGGGGTATTTTTCTGGAAAAACTGGCACAATTCGGGGCCGGGGGGTTGGGTCCCCGTCGGGCCGGTTTCAAATTGCCATCTTTATATATGAGACCAAACATTTTATGGGAGAGAATGGTTCACAAATAGTGGGGTTATGTCATATATCATTTATCATTAGTTTAGAAAAAAATAGGGGGACACGTTATGAGATTTTTGTTTAACGTAAACCTCTTCCCACATTTGAAAATTTAATATTTTTTCTTCTCTAAAGTTTTTAATTTTAATACACATTGTCTGCTAGATTGCTGATATCATATCATAAATTTTTTTAAATAATTATCTTGTCCTTTTTTTTGCCATTTCTTCTTCCTATCATCATCACTACATTCTATAACTTTTCATCATTAAATTTTACCTGAACATATTCTTATTGAGTGATAACATATAAATATAAATTTTATATAGAATTTTCAATCATAATAATATAATTTAATGATGACCTTTCACTTTAAAACAAAACACCCATAAACATGATTTATATTTACAATAATATCACTATGACAATATTTTTATAATATTTTTTGCATAAATTTTTATATATGAATATAATTTTTCATTTTTATTCTACCATTTTATCTAGATTAGATCAATTTAATCTAGTTTTATTTAAAAAGTATAAAATTTGTATAAAAAACTTTAAAAAAATTCATTGAATACACCAAAATAAGGTAATGTATTGAATTTTTATATATTTTTGTATTTGGTGAATTTAAAAAAAATCACAATATATTATACTTCTTAAGTGTATCTAGAATAGGTATATCTAAAAAATAAAAAAATTACTTAAAATATTAAAAAATTCAGTTAAAAAAAAAAGAAAAAAAAAACTTACATTTTTGTGTGAGTTAAATCAAATAAGATAATTGTAATTTTTCTTCAAATGACATGAATAAATATTTACATTATTTTATATATATAAAAATTAAGGAACAAATATATTATTTTAATCTATTAAAAAATAAGTATAATTTTTCAAAATATCCCAAACATTCAAAAATGTTTTAGACCACTAATTAGTGATGGCTCTAATGATGTGGCAGTGGGTGACACACTACCACATGTTTTGTGCCTTGTTTTTTTTTTTTTTTTTTTTTCAATTGCCACCTCATTAGTGGTGGGATTAGTAATGGCAAATTAGTAGTCTATTGCATTGCTCAAAAAAAATTTATATTAAACAAAAATCTCCAACAAATATCACATCCAACCCGATAATCATTTTATTTTTTCTCTCACAAGCATCACATTCAATCACAAAAAAATCAAATTATCTTCCTAAATATAAAAACAAAAACAATTTTCTCCAATAATAACCCTTACAAAGGAATCTACTTCCCAAACATGCACAATCTCAGTGTAATTTAACCAAAAAATAATCACAGAGGAATAAATGGCCGCACCTGATAATTTAATCCAGATGCACCTGATTGCACCTGCCATGCTCTCCCCCCCTATTTATACCAACCTAACCTCTTCCTTCCTGCTACAAAAAGCAATATCTACCTTAGCTTCTCTCTATTTCCTTCTACATATACATTTATATATCTGTTCCCAAGTTTGTACACTCTCACAGACCCACTATGAAAACATACATAGACATAGATAGCCTCTGGGTTTTCACTCTTGCTTCCAAATGCAAAGCCTTCACTTCCCTAAACTTTCTATGCTGTCTCGTCATAACTGGCTTAGCATGGCTAGCCTTGAGCTTGGTTTACTGGGCTTACCCGGGTGGACCCGCTTGGGGCAAGTACAGGTTGAAGAAAGGCTTTAACTTGATGTTCCCGGGTAAATCCATACCCGGCCCTAGAGGTCTTCCTGTGATTGGAAGCATGAACCTCATGGCGGGTCTCGCGCACCACCGGATCGCAGCCGCGGCTGAGAAAAGCCACGCCAAGCGGCTCATGGCTTTCAGCCTCGGCGAGACAAGAGTTATTGTTGCGTGTAATCATGACGTAGCGAAAGAGATTCTGAACAGCTCGGTTTTCGCTGATCGTCCGGTGAAAGAGTCTGCGTACCGTCTGATGTTCGACAGAGCTATCGGGTTCGCTCCCTACGGGGTTTACTGGCGGACACTTCGGAGAATCTCAGCCACTCATCTCTTTTGTCCAAAGCAAATCAAAGCATCCGAGGGACAGAGGTTCGAGATCGCTGATCAGATGGTGGCAATGTTTGGTGCTCACACAGGAAACATTCGTGTTCGCGACACACTCAAACGAGCCTCCCTCAACAACATGATGTGTTCGGTGTTCGGACGCAAATACGGGCTCGGTTGCCACAACCCGGAAAGTGAGGAGCTAAGGAAGATAGTTGACGATGGGTACGAGCTTCTGGGTACACTCAACTGGTCCGATCACCTCCCTTGCTTAGCTGAATTCGACCCTCAAAAAATCCGGTTCAGGTGCTCTGAACTCGTTCCGAAAGTGAACCGGTTCGTGAGCCGAATCATTGCAGAGCACCGAGCTCGACTCGGCCAAATTGTAAACCGTGATTTTGTCGACGTTTTGCTCTCTCTTGAAGGACCCGACAAACTATCCGACTCCGATATGATCGCTGTCCTTTGGGTAAGCATGCAACCTCAGCCACTGTTTGGGAAGTGGATTTAGGGTTGAAATAACTCTCAAAAAAGAACAAAATAAGTTTTTTAGTCTTAATTAGATAAAATATTATATTTAACCTATAATCATTACATTCTTTCTCTAAAAAAAAAATTAAAAAAAGTCAAAAGTCCTTTCTAAATCAGACTTTTTAGTCTCAGGTTAAAATAATAAAAAAAATCAAAAAGCCAACTCACTTCTCAAACCAAATCTTAATTTTATTATAAATTATGTGGAGTTGATTATTTTAATTGATTCTTTATAAAAAAAAATGTATATAAAAAATAAAAAGAATGATTTGATTGAATATTTTAACATTTTTAACTAAAACAGAGCTAAATTCATTGTTTTCCCTCCATATGTATGAACTATGAAGCTATTAGCTGTTACTAAAATTTTTAAAATCATGTTAAAACTTTGAAGACACTTAATTCAAAAGTAATAATAGCTAGAGTGTTTTAAATGACCATATCAGAATTGATACCAACCATCATATATGAATTGATTTTGATCAATATATTGTTATAAAAAATATCATCATATATCAAATAATTCTGTTAGCATAAAAAAAAAAAAAAAATCTAAAATCTCGATTACTAGACAACATAGATCGTATTTGGTTGCCAAGTGCCTTATAAAGTGATGTGCAAAATGTCTTACAAATTACATATACACGTTGATGGATTTGTATATATTTTTCGGAGTACGTGTAACAATATCATGTGGTTTATCTAAGCTAAGAGGATGGTGGGTCAAATGAACAACCGTTGAAGTGCCAGGCAACTAGCTATGAGCTTAGCTCGTTGTACTTGCATTAAACTACTAAAAGTTGTAATTTGTTTTTAATGTTTTGGTTTTACAGGAAATGATATTTAGAGGAACTGATACGGTAGCGGTTTTGATCGAGTGGATATTAGCAAGGATGGTCCTTCATCCTGATGTTCAATCAAGGGTCCACGATGAGCTAGACAGAGTCGTCGGACGATCACGTGCGCTCACAGAGACTGATCTAACGGACATGGTCTATCTACCGGCTGTGATTAAGGAAGTTTTAAGGTTACACCCGCCGGGACCACTTTTATCATGGTCACGGCTATCGATCACAGACACTACCGTTGATGGCCACCACGTGCCAGTGGGGACCACTGCAATGGTGAACATGTGGGCCATCATGCGGGACCCGGATGTGTGGTCCGACCCACTTGCATTCAAGCCCGAGAGGTTTATCAACGTGGACGCTGAGATGGAGTTTTCGGTGATGGGCTCGGATCTAAGGCTCGCACCGTTCGGGTCGGGTAGGCGGACCTGCCCGGGTAAGACCCTGGGCTTGACCACGGTCAGCTTTTGGGTGGCCTCGCTTTTGCACGAGTTTGAATTGTGGCCATCGGATCAGATGACTAGTGTTGACTTGTCGGAGGAGCTCAGGCTATCTTGTGAGATGGCAAACCCTCTTACCGTTAAAGTGCGCCCTAGGCGTACACCAGTTTTGTTATTGACCTAGGTACGTTAATGTTAAAAAGTTCAAAAAAAAAAAAAAAAAAAGTTGAAAAATAATCTACTCAAAAAAATTATTCAGAATTTAAAACATATGTTGTAACCCAGAATAAATATGGTTTATAAAATTTTAAATTCTGAATTTTTTTAAAATAGTTTCCCTGAATATATAAAAAAAAAAATCAATAAAAAAGTTGTCTAATAGGTATAATCTACCCAATCAAATAGTCATGTTGCGCTTGATAATAAGGATACATGACCATTTTGTACAGTGTTTTTAAAACGAAAAATGTTTGGTGGTCACAAATTTTGTGGTTCAAATGGCTCGAAAATGTCAAAACGATGTCGTTTTGACATTTTCAAAGTTGTTTTGTACCCAAAACGACGTCGTTTTGACATTTTCGGACCATTTAAGCCACAGAATTTGTGGCTACCAATCATTCCCTTTAGCCGCCACCTATAAAAATGCCCTTGTGTTTGCTATGTAAATGCTTTGTTTGGTTGTGTTGGTGTTTTTTTGTTGTCCCTTTTTTTGGACGGTTTAATTTCAATGTCTGTTATTTTGTTTGATGATATATGGATGTATATACAGGGGTAAAAGCAATCCAAGTTTTTGTTATCAAAAGATTCAGAATCTCTTGTTGATAATTTGTAGTAGTTAAACTTTGTTTCTTGTTTATTGCATGGTGGAGTATACAAGAATCATAATTATACGGATAAAAAAAAATATCATATTTGATGATAAATAAATTCAACAAAGAAGATGATTAGCACTACCATGCGAATGCTATTTACAAGACAAAACACTCCCATTCGTAGCCAAAGGCCCTCTAATGCCCAAGTCAGTCCTCCAATACTATCAAAATATTTGATAGACTAATTCATAGAGAGAAATTATGTACTTTAACCTATAGGGATTGCCTATTTATAATATCTAGTGACTTACCTCACAAGTAGTTTGAAGGTTTCAAAAGTCCTATCTTAAACAATTTTCAGCTGTTTAAGACTTTTATATCGATAAGATTTCATATCTTGATGAGTTTTGCATAACATAAAATATTAATGCAGTGTTTGATAAGAATTTGGCAGTGGTCATACATTTGATAATATATAACCATGCCACGTGGCAATGCCTAGACCCATATAATTCTTGTGGTTATTTTTATTCCCTCTCAATTGTCCTCAAACTTTCATTCTCTTTGAACCTAGTAAAAGAATGAAAGCTTTCGTTGTTCTGATGAAAATAGCTGTGTAATATTGCCTAGCTAGTACCATACATGGTTCCTAGTGTTTATTCCAAAATGCCTAACTTTGTTATGACTTATTCCAAAAATGCCCAATATTGTTGAAACTTATTCCAAGAATACCTAACCTCGTTAAGACTTATTCTGAAAATGCTTAGTCTTACTAAGACTTATTTCAAGAATGCCTAACTTCGTTAGGACTTATTTCAAGGATACCTAACTTCGTTAGGACTTATGCCTAATCTCATTAGGAACTGCCAAAACGCCAACTTGTTTATTGACAAGCAAAACTCGTTCGGCAATGAATCTCACTATTGGAAAAACCGCCAATCTACTCTGCAAAAATTTTCAAAGTTGGTCAAACTTGCCAACCCATTTTGCCGAGCAAAACCTGCTCGACAAAGATTTTCCAAGTTGGTCAACCTGCCAACCTACTTTGCTGAGCAAAACCCGCTTGACAAAGACTCTCAAAGTTGGTCAAACCTACCAATCTAATTCGCCAAGCAAAACCCGCCCGACAAAGATTTTCAAAATTGATCAAACCTGCCAACCTATTTTGCCTAGCAAAACCCGCTCGACAGAGATTTTTCAAGTTGGTCAAATATGCCAACCTATCTCTTGCCCAAATCAACTTGGCAAGGAGATAAAATTTTTAACCAAGGGGTAGCGCAATTCATTTTGTCCCCGTGATCTATAAAGCACAGAGTCCGTCTTAACATATTTGGCCAAATAACGGTCTCCTTCCAACGCGGAATAATAATGCATAAAGTTGGTGCTCCACATATAACAAAAATTCGACATAATATATAATCTATGCTCCGTAGCATAATAACTTATAATAATACGTCCATATCCATAATGATAATGCATAAAACCCATACACCGCAGATAATAAAAATCCAATATAGTTGATCTTTTATATCTACGTGATCAGAATAATAGTGCATAAACTCCGTACTCCGCCTATAAAAAATCTGATATAATAATTGATAAAAGTATCTCCATGTCCAAAATAATAATAAACAAAAATCATGCCCCATAGAACTGCGGTAAACAAGGCAAACTAATTCATGTTAACAGAGTATAGCGTGCCATAACATTGCTCCATAAGAATCTTTGTTTCAGAAATTCCAAGCCAAATTGAGAAGATCCAAATGCCTCAATTATTCAGGTAAAACCATAGTGATTATAAAGACATAAAAATTTATGTGTCCTTTTGTTCTTTAAAATAATTATTCACAAAATACATAATTCTGACAATGGCCATTTTGTCAATTTCCATGATAAACAAAACAAAGCCTTATGAAAGACTTTTGTATAAGATATGGATTGTAACCTTTCAAAAGCCTTTAATTCTTATACATCTTGTTATGGATATAACTCTCATAAGTTTTATACTACAAAAATTGATAATTAGATGTCAACAGAATAAATGAAGATCTTATCTGGACACCAGCGTGGTCTTTTCTTCTCTTTGTTGGATCCAATCGTTTCCCACCGACGGCGCCAATTGTATGGACATTAAAAAAAAATACTGGATTTGATGATAAAGAAATCTAACGAAGAAGATGATCAGCATTACCACATGACTGCTATGTGTAAGACAAAACGCCCCCAGCCGTAGCCGAGAGCCCTCCGACGCCCAAGTCAGTTCTCCAATATTATCAAAATATTTAATGGACTAATTCGTAGAGAGAAATTGCATATCTTAACCCATGGGCGTTGCCTATTTATAATATCTAGTGACTTACTTCATAAGTAGTTTGAATGTTCCAGAAGTCCTATCTCAAACAATATCACTACAAGAAACAACACCTTTGCCGACCAAAAAATTGGTCGCTAAAAGCCCATTTTTAACCAATTTTTTTGGTCACTACTTTGGTCGCCAATTGAGGGTTGGCAAAAGTAATTCGCGACCAAAATTTTTGTTGGTCGGGAAAAGTTGGATTTGCTGACTAAATTTTTGGTCGCTAAATATATCATTACTGCAACTAATCCATTTTGTCGCTAAAACACTTTAGTCGCGAAAAGTGATATTTTTCTAACCAAATATCTTAGTCGCCAATTATCACATTCCACGACCAAATAGATTAGTCGCCAAAAGGTAAGGAATTGCTGACCAATGATTTTAGTCGCAAAAGTGTAGAATTTGCCGACCAATTTTTTAGTCACCAAATCTTTTTTTTTTTTTGAGAACAGTCAATTTTTGTTTATAAACATTCAATCCAATATCGAACAAAATTCATTCAACCCAACCACAATTAAGGAACAATAACATTTAAAAAAGAACAAGCTTAGGAACAATAATTAACAAATTTCCTTTCTTGTAACTTCACTAAATCATCAAACAATAATTGAATTCCATTTAAAATAAAGATAAAAATATGTAATTGTAGTGCAACACAGGGCATATTCAAGTCAAATTGAATTTAGTAAGCATGTCTTCTCAAAAGCTATGTCCTCTTTGAAGTCCAACATGACACAAAACTTGAAGCCTTTCACCTTCTTTAATGATTTAACATATCAACTTGCTTGGCAGCTGATCCAAACTAACATATCAACTTTATCGATAATTGACCCTCCACCCTTGCATGGCCGAATGAATTAGCCACTTGCAAGCATTTCAGCTCTCACAAACTGAGCAGCAGCAGCTGCATTTGGGCTAGCACCAAAACCTGACAGAGATCTTTCATAGACCTTGAAAGATTGATGACAAAAAAGAACAAAGATCAAATCTTTGCATCACCAACTATCCCAAAAGCATAAGTTTTAGAAAATAGGCCGAACAATGTATTCAATTAAGTCCAAACTCAATTCATTTGGTAATATTAATGCAGTCAGGAAGAATAATAGTGGTTGCAGCGGAAAAATAATACAAAGAAATGGGTGCTTTCACATAGAACAAAAATCCGTACATAGAATCACAACAAAAATACATCTTGATCTATGAACAGCAATCAAGAAACTATTACACAGCAAATCACTCATAAGCCTGATGTCTTCTCACGGTTTTCTTGCTGCATTTTGGGATAAAATTTATGAGCTTGAAAAAATGATCAAGCATGTCTCACCTATCCTTACAAGCTGATTAGAGTTGAGCTTGAAATATAGGGTTTATTTTCAGCTCTAATCCTTATTCCAGATTTCAAAAAGAAGAAACCATGACCAATAGAAGCTAATAAAAAGGTTTATCCTGTGAAGGGATGAAAAGAAAGTGTGAACAAAATGAGAGTTTTATTTTTCAAAATTCCTGCATATCATTATTACCTGAATTGAAAATAACATATTTACACAATTATTCTGATCAAATCAGGGTTGAAGCAAAGCTTAATGCCTCAAAAACCTGGCTGACACTGAAATCGCCAATCTTCATTGTGCTGCCAGCAGTGACCAAAAGATTATCAGGTTTAATATCCCTATGTACAATATTCTGTTGAGCAAGAAACAAAAATCCACATAACCTTTGCTAACACGAGAAGGGGCAACAACAGGCAAACTACAACCGATATTCATGTAAAACAGACCACAAGACGTAATAGGAAAAGTATCGAGCATTTTCTGGTGTTCAAGTGTACATTTTAAAATGTGAATTAATATCATCTATATGAAATGATAAAGTGCAATGAAGTCCATTTTAGTATTTGCAGTAGACCAATTACATGAAAACATGTCAACATAAATAAAATTTATGCAATACTTATATATATAAGTTTGGTTCTCAGGTTGGTAACCAAAAACCAACCCAATTATATTAGATTGATGATTTTAAGACCCAAAACCACACATTGGAAACACTAAATCAACACAACCCAACCCAACCTATAAAGGTCACAGGTTGGTTTGGTCCTCTGGTTTTCTGGGCATTTTTGTACATCTCTATTCCTATAAATGATCACACAACAAAACCCCTAATACGTTTTAATAGAAATTATCATTAAAAAAAGGGGGACAAGTTGGTCTCATACATGAGAGTGAAGATACATCAACCCTGAAACTATATCCTGCAAGTACTTTCGTGCTTGGTCTTCTCCTAGGCCACCTTGTAGACCAGAACCCTCACAGAACCATTTGCCTTCCACATATTCCAAAACTGAGCAAGCACAAGTGTCCACCATCAAACTCAGCAACTTTCACATTCTTCAAAAATTACAAACATAGTTACTTCTTTTGCATATAATAATTGCGACAGTAAGTTTTTGACTGTGAATAAAAATCTATGCAAGTGATTACATTCTGATCTTGAAAGACAATTCAAAAAATCAACCCATGGAAGAAGGCGACAGGTGCCTAGGTCTGACATTAGTAAATCAGGTATGTACACACTTTTCGTGGATAATATTCCTCTACCCATGAATCCAAAAGGGTTGTTCGCCAT